CCAGATAGGCCTGTCTCTACCACATACTCACACATGAGATACCACCCCAGATAGCACAACCACGATACATAGTCTATCAAATACCATACACACATACTATACACACACCATGACATACCATACACATACTATACACACACATAGCTCAAGGTACACACACACACATGTACTAGTGGAGGTGATAAGAGCACCTCTCACCAGTACTCAGCACTCACTTCGCAGATGCACCATGGTGGGGAGCAGTGTCTGCTATGAAATCGGGTCCACATACACATTACAAACATACGCATAGCCCACGGGCACACATCTATGATACAGAGTACATACACACATACAACACATACACAACCATAGGGCTGGGAGGAGGTCACGATCAACTGATAATGATGATAGGCCTTTCGATGATAAGTATCCCCCTTAATATCAGCTAGACTGTGTGTGGCAGACTAGGGCTGTGGTGGGCGAGTAGAGGGCGTGAGTCACTGGTTGGTCTGGATTAACTGATGATGATGATAGGCGTTTCGAGGAAAAGTACCCCCCTTAAAATCAACTACGACTGTGGTGGGCGAGTAGAGGGCGTGAGTTACCAGTTGGTCAACTTAGGGGCTAGTAGGAGATTGCTTGGGCCTGGCGTCTGAAGTTCCCGTGCGATGAGGCTCGTTCGATTCCGCTTCCACCAGGGCTGGGTCATGGCTAGCCCTGGTGCCTGTCACTACTGTTCGGTCCAAGTTCCCCTAGATACGAAGTAGGGGTAATGGTCCTGAGTGCTGGTCACACTGAGGTAGGATAGGAGAGATAGGGGGTGCGCTAGGAGTATTGACGTGAGGATGGGATGGGAAGGTAGCCTCGTTCCCTCAAGACAACCATGGCTGACCGCTCCAGGCGATCAATGTGTGCCTAGTAACCGGCCTCTACAACACCCTGGGCTTTAAAAACAAAAGAAAAAAAGAGAGAAAAAAGGGAGGGGGGGGGGGAGGAGAGTCTGCAATGATGTTTCCCTCCGAAAGGGAGGAGGTACTGGTTGCTTGGAGGCCACGTGGCCTAGGAAGTCACTCGCCAAGAGGCAAGCAGGCCCCTATATCTCCAGGAGGAGCCAGTTGCTCCTCCTCATTGTCAGTGTGCAAGTTTGGCGACACACTGGTTGGAGCGCTGGCTGGAGCTGCGCTGCTGGGGAAGGAGCAAGGACATGGAGGAGGAAGAAGACCGGGACTAGGAAGGGGAGCGCCAGAGGTACTTACCTGGCTATGGTGGTTGCCATCTTCATCACCTTGGTGGGCGCTGCAGCAGGAAGGCCCCGTTGGGGCAGAGCTACACCAAGAAGCTTCAAGGCAGAGTCAGGCATGACGGCCTGAGCTAGAGCAGCCATAGCTGCTATGTGTTGTCCTTTGGGCAGCAGGGCAATGCCCTGGTAGTCCTCCATAGCCTCGGCCTATGAGGAAGAGAGAGAGAGAGGGGCAGATATGGCTATGGTGGACCTCAAGTGATACCTGCAGTAGAAGAGGGACTCGGACATTGATTCTGGATCAGCCATTCAACATTGTTATTATTATTCTTGTTTGGAAAAAGAGGGGAAGAGATAAGGAGGAGAGTGGTTGGCGAAGAAGAAGAGCATTATCATTGGTCTATGCTGGTGCAATGACTTCTGTTTTCTGGTCGCCTGTAGCCTCTCTCTGTTGAGGCTGTACTATAGGTAGGACAAATTCGTAATTTTGTTTGGCTGAGGGCTGAGTGACCTGCCTGTAAGGAAAATAAATGAGGGACATATCTGTAAATTCAGGAAAATACAGGCCCGTACTAACTGAATTCCTACAGCTACCCTAACTGCGAATAGCGGACCCGGGCTACCCCTAAGACAGACAGGCCCTACAGGCCTAAGCTGATAGACGGTCCTATAGCCTATAGCCGGGTTGGGAGAGGCCCTAGAGGCCGAAACAGAATCGGTACCGGTCGGTCAGTCAGTCCGGTCTAGGTCGAGTCTAGGCTAGTTTAGACTAGATAGGATAGGCACATCGGTTCAGGGCTTTTGGCAGTTGGTATCGAGTACATCGCTGCTGCGCTACGCGTAAACCGGAAGTGGTGACGGCTCAGCGTTGTGGGGGACAGACATAGCCAGACCTTCGGAGCGTCGGCCATAGCTGGGACCTGCGCTGTACTCTGTCAGCACGCGGGGCTGTCAGAGGTCTGGGCTATTCGGGGTCTGCTGGAGGCGAGAGAAGTTGGTGCCCTGCTGGACCCTCCTCCGGAGTGGGGTCACAGGGTTGTGGCGCTGCAGCCATAGCTGCAGCTTCTTCCTCAGAGGTCATCTTGTCAGGAGGGGTCACGCTGCTGCAGACTTCCACCCCGGAAGTCTTTCGACACCTCGTCATCATCAGATACTGTGGTGCTGCTCTTTTTCTTCACCCTCTGAGTGGCGCTTGGCCTCAGAGGCCTGGTTCAGGGTGGCGCTGTCCTCTAGAGGCAGTATTTGGGTGGCGCTTGATGTTTCAGGGGCTCAGGGGTGTTGCGAGTGGTTACTCAGGGTTGGGGAGTGAAGCGCTGCTCACTTCTGAGCAGCGCACTGTAGTTCTGAGGTTATCCTAACAATTCGAGACTCTGAGTTTAATAAACAGTGTGGTACTGGGTTTGGACTGTCATCGTTTCATTGTTTCATGGATGTGATCTTCTCGGCTTTCCTTTACGACTGGTTGTGAGGATTGAGTGGAGTGAATTGCACTTTCAGTGTACCCTGTCATATCACATGGTTAAGTCTTCCGCTATGTTTATCTCTTCCTATGCGGTGTGATACTCCTATCCTCTCCCCTTCCTTTTGTGTATGTATGGGCATACCTCGAAGTCTATGTGAGTGAGTGTTGGTCTTCAGACAACGAACAACCAGAATCATAACAGTTGGTATCGGAGCGATTGGATCCAGACTCTGGAGTGATTGATGAGTTGGAGCAACCATCATCATCTGGCGAGATACTGGAGTTGAGTCTTATGGCGATTCATCATCTTCAGGGTTGTTGTCAGTAAGGGTGGTGGTGGCGAGTGTCTGGCGAGAAGAATTGGGCAAAGGGTGACTCTCTCCTGCCTAAGGTTGTGCAGGAGAGGTTGGCGATTGATGCTCAGAGGCCTGGGAGGCTCTAAGAGGCTATTTTTAGCCTGGCGATTCATCTGGAGACTGGCGATTGACAATGAGGTGATCCCAGGAGGTTGTGATTGTGGAATTGGGTTAGGATCCCCAATTTCCAAGCAGCACAGCACAGGGTGATGTGGCGTTGCACTGAGTTGTCAGTTATCTGCACCTGAGAGTTCAAATTCAGTGAATCTGTCAGTTGGGGGTGAAGCGCCTCAGGATGAACTGCTGGATCACCAAGTTTCAGGAGGATAGATGCGTGGGAACACTGGGAATCAACATGAGATGAAACTGGCAAGATGGCGATCCTGAAGTAAGTGTGTTCCTTACTCTACTCTGCGTGGCGATTCTGGAGCTATTTTTAGATTAGCGAAATAGGGTCTGTCAGTCAGTTGATAGTTGAAAATCGAAATTCAGACTGTGGGACAACCATAGCTAAATTCTCCTGCCTATCTTCTTTAACTTCTACTAACCCTGTTTGACCTCCTTTCTGACTCAAATCTCATATGTGACTGCTTTACAGTATTGCGATTCATACTGTATAGTGAATTGATGTATTCAGGGTCCTATTGTTAGTAATAATGAAAATCCGAATTTTGCGTTGACATAGCTGAAGCTGGGCTAGACTAGGGTTAGTCATAACTTCAATTCTGTCTGTCCGAATTCAATTCTGTCAGTCCCTGGTAAATCGCAACTCAATATACAGTCAGTGTCTGAAATTGCACAATATAATTTTGAGTTTTGAGTCAGTTACAGTGTTTGTTGTAATTTGTCGTACCCAGGGTATGGCATATAGGGTCATACAGTGGTGAAGTCTCTAGGGTGGGTCAAGGATTTCCTGTAAATCGTTGCATCTTGGTCATCAGTGGACACCTGCCTATCCCTAAGTAGTCACTTTGTCTAACTTCTAATCTCTACTAATCAGTCCAAGACTGCATCCTGGAAGTGCAGTTATTGCATGCAATTGTTGTGTCAGGGCAGGGATTGGAAAATCGTGAAATTGGTTTTTGCGGAGTTTACTCTTAACTGACCATGACCCTCAAGTGGTCTGTAGAGACTGAGCACTCACTTGCGCAGACTAACCAACTCTCTTTCTTCAGTCAGGTGACAGTAATTGGACGAGTACTGTAGAAAAAATCCAATTCCTATTACCTCATGTTTGTCTTTTGTTTATTTGTTTATTTTTATCTTATGAGGAATTACCTCATGTTTGTCTTTTGTTTATTTGTTTATTTTTATCTTATCCAGTGTTGCACACGCCAACCGTCGGCGACCCTTGACTGGTCGGCTGGTCAGCACCTACCGGTCGGGGGTCGTCGGCACCCCGCATTTTTTTAATTTTTTTTTTCGGTCCAAAACCCCTAATAACCCCACGAACACCCCCATACCCACCCCAAATACCCCCATACACCCCCCCAAACCCACAAACCGGCCCCCAACACCCTCATAACCCCCCCCAATACCCCCTATACCACCCCTATACCCCCCTATATCCCCTTATACACCCCACCCCCAAACCCCCCGTCCCCAAAAGTTTCTCAGGGATTTGGGTTGTACTCAGCAAGCGCAGTACAACTTCCAACTTAGATCTGAAAAACAATTAGTGGATGGTTATTTTCTGACTGGTCGGCAGACCGCCGATCGGTCGGCCCTACTGGTCGGCTGCAATACGGTCGGCGGTCGGGGTCGGCGGTCGGGGTCGGCGGTCGGGGTCGGCGGTCGGGGTCGGCGGTCGGGGTCGGCGGTCGGCAGGGATGCAACCATGATCTTATCGGAATTGTGGGGTAAATTAAAATGGCAGATGCTGAGAAGGGAGAGGCTTCTGATGTGAAGCCTCAGATTCCTCTTGATCCCTTAGAGGCTGAACTGCTTGCTGAAGAAGAAAAACTTCGCAAACAGGCTGAAGCAGTTCAGGCTCTAAAGGAGGAGTTAAAATGGAAAGAGGAAGCTGCCAGAAAAGAAACGAGAAGGCGGGAACTGGTAGTCGATGTGGAGAAGGTCAAGACAAGTGGCAGTTCCAGTCAGTATAATAAGGACATAGCTGAATTCATCCTCTTGCAGGATGAAATTCACCATTCCTATTTTACTAACTGGGATGTCAGGATCACCATCCTGGAGGAGAGTATGTATGGCACAGCATACTAACGAATTAAAAGACATCTCCTCCAAGCTTGATCGTTTTTTCATTTATCTGCAGATCCCACGTGCTCAGACAACTCCTCCATCTCCTAGACCTTCCCAAGTGAATCCCTCATCAGCCCCACAATCCAGACACACATCTCCTCCCTCTACACCCAAGTCAACAGCCGCCTCACGTCCCTCAACTCCTTTTGACATGCAGCGCCCCAAGCTGACACCTCCACCCATGTTCTCTGGTGATGACCCAAAGGTGGATGTTGCAGATTGGGTCACTACACAAAGAACCTACCTGAGTGGGTTCAAATGTGATGAGGATGTAAAGGTGTCTGCCATCCTTGCTCGTCTGGAGAGGACTGCACTGAAATGGTGCACCTCTACCTCCAGCAAGCAGGGGATGGAAATGTCTGATTGGGCGCAGAGGTTGGGGGTGGCTGGATTTCTGCAGGCACTGCAGGACCGGTTTGCAGACAAGGAGCAGGCCATAAAGGCAGCAAATAACATTATGCGCCTGGGCCAGAAAAAGTTTGATGGCTCCTTGTCCAAACTGTACTCCACCTTTGACAGTCTCACATCGACTTTTGAGTTGAAGATGAGTGAGCAGGATCTGCTCATTCATTTCCTCAGGGCAGCGCCTGAGCAATTCCAGCTCGCATTATTCTCTCAGGGCCACAAGGATTGGCAGTCCTTGGGCAGAGCAGCTCTGGACTTGGAGTCCAAACTCCATGTCCAGGAAGCACCTTCTGAAGGAAGGGACCCTCCTCAAAGGGGCGAAGAAGGAGGAAGGGTGCCCTGTTTACTACTGCAGCATCTAGTTCAGATAGTGACGCAGCATCCAAGGTGCGACCCCTCCATCTGGGGCTACTTCATCATCTGCTGCAGATCCTGCTGTTCTTGCCTTGACTGATGCTTTGATGGGTGTGACTAAGGGCAAGGCCCCAACCCAAAAAACACCAACCAGCAGCAAGGGGAAAGGTAAGGGACGTGCCTCTTCCCCTGGAGCCCAGAGAGTACCGCTACCACGCGACGTCCGTTGGCCAACTGACCCCCTTGATCCTTCCACCTTCCCCTGGCATGCACTCAGGAGGGGGTCTGGAGGAAGAGAAAGGACAAGGGTGTCTGCCTGAGGTGCAAGGGGGACCATTTCTTAAAAGACTGTCCCAGCATGCCTCGCAGGTCCACAGGCGGCTCTAGTTCAAAAAACTAGAGCAGAGGGAGGTGGAAGCAACAGCTCCTTCCACCAGTGTTGATTCACTTTCTGACGAGGGCGAATCTTCACATTCTCTCGCTGGTGCTTCTTTTGGAGTTGCATCTTCAGGTTCCTTCACTTTTGAGGACTCTGAGCTGGATAAGACGTGGGAGGAGGATGATTCTCAGTGCCTTGCTGATCTTTTCCTGTCCTTGCAGGAGAAGAAGCATAGGTCAGAACTCATCCTACTTTGACCCTCTATCCTAGGAGCCAAGATCAAAGGGCTCTTGGACTGTGGGGCCGCTCGCAACTTCATATCTCCAAGGCAGTCAGTAAGTTGCACTTGGATCAGAGACTAGGGAAATTGCGACAGCCTATAGAGGTTCGCATTGGGGACTCCTCCACAGTCAGGATCACTACCGTTGTCAAAGGCCTACCTGTGACCTTTGACAAGCAGGGAGAAATCAGACACTGCCTGAATTTCTATGTGTTTCCTAACGTTCTCTTTGACCTTGTCTTCTCTATGCAGTGGCTTGGTGCCACCAATCCTAGGATCGATTGGCAGATCCCTAGGGTTGAGCTACCTGACCGGCATGGGGTCTATCGCCCTTGTTTACTCATAGACGAGTACCATCCGGCCAGCAACTGTTATTGCATGAGTGCTCACAGATTTATGCGATTTTCACGCCAGACTGACCACACCCGTCTGTTCATGGCTTATGTCAAACAGACTGATGTGGAGACCGCTCCCTGTCCCTCTCAGATTTAGCAGGTTGTAGACCGATTCTTAGATCTTATGGAGGATCCAACTGGACTTGTCCATAGGCAGACCCTACGTTGCGTAGAGTACACGTACGGGGCCTTGCCGTACGAAACGTACAAGTAATATCTGTACGGGATCTGTACGGGAACTTGTACGGAAACCTGTACGTCTTGTACGCCCCTGTACGAAAAAGCAAAAAAAAAAAAAAAAAAAAAAAAGGTCATAAAAAAAACTCCGAAAAACAAATATGTGATGCAACAGCACAAAACAAGCAACGTTTGGTTGAGCATCATCTTCAGATTCTTATTAGAATTTGAGGGGGGGGAAAAAACAAAAACACTACCGAATTAAAAAAAAAGAAAAAAAGAAAAATCGTGCAGGGCCCTAGCGTACGAGTAGCGTACGAGTACAAGAGTACGAATCCGTACTCGTACGAGGGTGCGTACAAGTGGCATTGCAGGTCAGACCAAACATAAGATTGAGATCCTGTCTGGTTCGGTCCCTCCCAAGGGCAGAGTCTACAGGATGTCACCTGCTGAACTTGATGTGCTTAGGAAACAGTTGGAGACCCTGACCATCAAAGGCTGGATCAGACCCAACACATCTGAGTTTGGGGCACCAGTCCTCTTTGTTCTAAAGGGGAATGGTGAGTTCAGGATATGCGTGGATTATCGAGGTCTCAACAAAATCACGAGGAAGTCTACAGAGCCCCTTCCTCGCATTGATGATTTGTTGGACATGGTGCAAGGCTGTACCATTTTTAGCAAGATCGATCTCAAATCTGGCTACCACCAGATTGAGATGGCTAAAGGCGATGTCCACAAGACAACCTTCAAGACTAGGTATGGCACTTATGAGTACCTGGTCATGTCATTCGGTCTTTGCAATGCCCTGGGCACCTTCCAGACAGAGATGCATCGCATACTCAGACCTTACTTAGACAGATTTGTAGTTGTCTACTTGGATGATATCCTGGTATTCAGTCGATCTGCCCAGGAGCATGCGCAGCATCTGGCTCTGGTCCTCCAGGCATTATGCGATAACCGGCATAAGATCAACAGGGAGAAATCCTCTTTTGGGGTTCCCTCTGTGATCTATTTGGGTCACGTCATTTCTGGAGAGGGGTTAGCTTCTGAAGCAACGAAAGTTGCTGCAGTTTAGGACTGGCCGTGGCCTGCTAACATTCGTGATGTCCGGTAATTCTTGGGACTTGCGTCTTATTATAGGAAGTTCATCTAGAACTTATCTTCTATCGCAGCTCCCTTGATTGATCTCACAAAGAAAGACACTGCCCTTCTTGGACATCAGAGTGTCAGGAGGCTTTTACACGTCTCAAGGAGGCTTTGATTCGTGCTCCTGTTTTGAAGTTACTAGACCCTACCTTGCCTTTTGTGCTCACCACTGATGCTAGTCAGTATGGTGTAGGGGCGGTACTTCAACAGGATGATGGGAATGGTCTGCAACCTGTCGAGTGCATGAGCAAGAAGATCAAAACAAAGAAGTTGCATGACTCTACCTATGAGAAAGAGCTTTATGCTCTTGTGTCAGTGCTCAAGCATTGGAAACACTTTCTCCTGGGCAGACACTTCAAGATCTTTTCATATCACTCCACCCTACAGTGGATGAAGTCCCAGGGAGAGTTGAATGACAAGCTTGCTCGCTACATTCAGTTCATCAATATGTTTGACTTTGAACTGAAACACAAGAAGAGCTGCTACAATCGAGTAGTAGACGCCCTTTCTCGTAGGCCTGATGCTCTATTTCTGATCTCCTTTACTCACTCATTTGGAGAGAGGACTCGTCAGACCATTGCCCGGTTGCTGCCCCAGGATGCGATTTTTGGGCCTATCGTGAGGAATCTCCAGGATGATCCTGCATCTGAACCAGGATATACTCTGGTTTCAGACCTGCTGTATACTTATAGCAGAGGTGAGGAATGTCTGTGTATTCCCTAGGACCACAAGTTGAGAACACTCCTGATGTCAGAGTGTCATGATGCTCGTGGTCACTTTGGAGCCCTCAAATCGTATGCAACCCTGTCGCAACACTTCTTCTGAAACCAAACCGCATCATACACATGAAACCAGATAGTCTTGACCTCGAACTTAAAGATGAATTGCAACTTGAGTTACACCAAATAAGCGCACAACAAAGCTCACAAATGACAACGTGGGAATAGTCTCGTCATCATCATCAATGAACCAATGTCGATACACTATCTGACGCTCAGCGCCCAGACTACAAATGGAAGATCCTACCTAGCCTATCTACAATGTCGCTTGTGACGTCAACAACTTCCCGAAGTACGAGCAGATCGCATCAAGCACCAGGTATGTCCCTCGCTTCACTCACACCCTCAATCCTCCACACAGATGCCACATGCACCCGAAGATCACCATATGCCCCTTCCAGCAACAAGCAGCCCAGCCCGGCTATGGCTGCCTGCTTCTTCCCTGCTCGCCCGTGAGCGAGTAGGCACTCACTCCAGCAGCTGGCGCAGCAGCGCTTGCGCATAAGCAGCGAGTGCCTGAATTTCCAGCCAACAGCCATGCCCTTTCCTTTATGGAGTGAGGCTGCCAGTCATGAGCTGCTTGGCTGGCCTGGGCCTCTCCCACGAAGCTTCCAGTAGGCCCGAAGTGGTTGAGCCCGTGTCCAACTACCCAGTCGGCCTGTGTTCAGTTCATGCCATGTCTCTGGTCTAGGGCCTGCCTCCGATTCATCTGAGAAAAGGCCTGGAGGCCCGAGATTTTGGCAGGCAGGGCCTTGGCGCATTCAACCATCTGACGCGGCATAACTGATTGAATTTCCCTTGCTGAGTCGGAACACAAAATAGGCCTCTCGTCACTTGTCAGGCCCACCTTCACTTAGGGCGGCCGTTCTTGCTGAAACAGGGTCCAGTAGGACTTACCACGACCTTTAGCCTCGCATTCCCTCCTCCGTAGTTCGATAGTCCTCTGAGAAGTTCATTGAATTTGGCGCTTTCCTTTCTTCAACAACTTCTCATAGTGAGTGACAACCTGTGGAGCGGTCCGCATCAGTTCCTCCCTTGTAAACCATCTCTCCTCTTTTGGATCATTGTGATGTATGAACCGAATGCGACATTGCAGCTTTGGCTTCGGAGGACGGCCCCTGCCTGTTGGTCTTGGAACCGACATTTCCCTGTGGTCAACGATGTCGTCAATGTTGACCTCTTCATCCAGGGTTGGGGGCAACATTGACCAACGAGAGGGAAAATGGTTAGTTTCCTTGAAAGGTGCGAGTTTGGAGGCGTGAAAGACAGGGTAGGTGTGAAGGTGACCAGGGACTTGCACCACATAGGAAGGCCCATCGGGATCATTTCCGACCACGTCTAAAACCTCCCATGGTCCGAAATACTGGGCATGAGCTTACGAGAGATTTCGTGCTCTTGCCCAAGTTCAAATGACTTCACCTAGACTCTATCCCCAACCTGAAATGCAGACGAGCGACGGTGTTTGTTCTCAGACTCTATCATGGTCGCCTGTGCTTTGTGCATGTTATACACTGCTTCCTGCATAAGGCCTTCATACCGGTATGCAAATTCCAAAGTACCAGGCACAACGGTGGACTGGTTCTCAGGTAATAAGAAGTCTACAAGTAATCGAGGTTTGAAAGTTAGCAGCAAATTGTTGGGACTCACCCCTGTAGTGTTGTGCACAATGTTGTTGTACAGGCTGGCGATGAGAGCAAGCTTCTCATCCCAGTCCACTTGATTAGGCTTGATATAGTGCCTCAGCTTGTACAACGTGGTTCATCTGCTTTGCTTGTCTGTTTGCCTCCGGGTGGTTCCCGGAGGTCATCTGCAGTTGGGTGCCTTATTCAGCAGTTGCAGTCTTCCATAACTCACTCGTGAAACGCACATCCCGGTCACGAACAATAGACTTTGGCAGACCAAAGTCTCTGACCCAATTCTCCTCAAACAGTCTAATAACGTACTCGGTCTTAGCTGTTTAGGGCATCACAACTAACCTATCATACTTACTAAACCTATCCACAATGACAAAGACATATCTCATACCACTCTTGTTGGTGACCAGCGTATCCATGAAATCCATGGACAAGCTCTCACCGGGCTTTTCCGAAATCGAAAGGGGCTTGAGTAGCCCAAGAGGGGCGTGTGTACGTGGCTTGTCTCTCTGGCACACCTGACAAGTTTCCCGTTATAGCATGGCGTCTTTGATCATGGTGGGCCACCAGAACTGCTGCAATAAATTAGTTGCAGTCTTCTTGTAGCCAAAATGTTCCGTGGCATCGTGATACTCACCTAAAAATAAACTACGCAAAGACTCTCTATTTGGCACACACAAATGTTTATTCTCGGCCTTCTCGAGAAACAACAGGCCATTGACCAACACAAACTCGTCAGAAGTCACCTTATCCTTCGCTTCGAGTCTGTGTATGATCTCTACCATGAACGGATCCTCGTGATAGGACTCCACCAAGGACCGAGTAACATTGTCCACAAGCCCAAACTCAGTAATCAGCGCCCCAAGGAAGTTTGGTCTATGCGACAGCGCATCAGCAACCTTGTTGTACTGCCCTTTGATATACTGGGGTTCGAAGTTATATTGTCTTATGACTTCAATCCAGCGTTTCAAAGCATTGGAGAGTACCGGTTGGGTCTTCATCCACCTCAGGGTCTGATGATCAGTCCTGACGTAGAAGAATCGCCCATGGAGGTAGTGCCTCCAGTGAGTCACAACTTTGTAGATCGCATAGAGTTCCTTCTCGGAGGTGGACTTAGCCAACTTCTCAGAGGGCATCTTTTTGGACATGTACTCTACCGGCCTCAACTTTTTCCCCTCCTGCTGTGCAAGCAAGCCACCAATGCCATATTGGCTAGCATCCGTGGTTACAACGAAAGGTTTGTCAGGATGAGGAAGTTTCAGGACCTCATGGTGTGTCAGAGAATGCTTCAGATGTCTGAAGGTAGTCTCACACCTGTCTGCCCATTCCCAGAGGGTGTCAAGGCGTGTGAGTTCCGACAAGGGCGTTGCCACTATTCTATAGTTCTTCACGAAATTGTGGTAGTATTCGGTCATCCCAAAGAAGGACCTCACCTCAGTCACAGATTGAGGATGCAGCCAGTCACGAATGCTGGCCATAGTCGCGTTATCGAGCTTCAGTCCCTCCACGGAAATTTGATGACCTAGATTCAAGATCCGGGTGCGGCCAAAATCGCACTTCTCCCGGTTAATCTTGAACTGGTGCCGTTGTAGGAGACTCGGTACTTTATCTAGATGGGCTACATGTTCCTCGACAGTCCTACTAAAGATAAGTATATCGTCGAGGTACACGATGACAAACTTATCTAAGCAGTCATGAAAAATCCGGTTCATCGCGTGCTGAAAGGTGCCAGGAGCATTGCAAAGGCCAAAAGGCATCACCACAACTCGTACAGACCGTACCTGGTCTGAAAAACGGTTTTGTGTTGATCCTTGGGCAGGATCGCAATCTGATGGTACCCGGACTTCAGATCTATCTTACTGAAGTACAAACACCCTTGCACTTGGTCCAATAAGTCATTGATGCGCGGTAGGGGCTCTGCATTCTTCGCAGTGATGGCATTGAGGCCCCTATAGTCAATGCACATCCTCAACGTTCCCCCCTTCTTTGGTACAAATAAGATAGGAGATCCATAAGGGGAGACACTCAGACGAATCCAACCCTTCTCTATGAGATCTTTCAGCTGTCGGCGAAGCTCATCAAGCTCCACTGGAGACATCCGATAGATCCTACCCTTCAGAATAGACCCTGCGATAATCTCTATCGCATGGACGACCTCCCTCTCAACAAACCCTTTCGACTCTTCAAATAGACCCCGGTATTTAGCGACCACTCCCTCTATCTCTTGAGGCATTTTCACCGGCTCACCCTCTGCAGAAACATACACTAAGTACATACCCTCGTTTGGATTTTGCTTATAATAATTATAGAATGTGGCCGCACACATGCACCCATAGGACTCGATTAGACTACTAGCTTTATGCTTACGCAATATGGCAGTCCCTCCACCGGGCAACGTGTGTTTGACCACTTTTCGGTCCAGTCAAACTGGGGTTGTGCAACCAAAAGGTAGTACAAGCAAGATATATATAGGGAGATCATCACTAACTAGGAACGAGATTTTATATCTCAGTTCCCCTCCCGCGTACAGGAAACAACACTCTTCATCTCTTAGGTAGTCATGAACTACCATGCGCTGTTTGTTGGCAACTTGGTACAAGTCGACTCCATGGGTCGACTGAGGCGCTGCACTTGCCCCTGTAAACGCAGCCGATCAACACAAGCACGACTGATAAAGTTCCTCGTTGAGCATGTATCGTAGAAGGCCCCAGCCTTACGACCGCCTATAACTACATCGCCGACGAACAACTCACCCTTACGAGTTTTAGCCATGATCGTCCAAGAAGCTAGCTGGTCTAATCTAGACCACTCCTCCTCTAGCTCCTCTAAGGACTCGAACACATTCATCGAACATAGCACCGATTGGTCTGAATGTGCTCACTAAACGGCGTCAAAGTCAATAGCTTGGGCCATCCCTCGAGACGGCGAGGGTGTAACCACCATCTCAACCCTAGTAGGAACAACTACAATTCCTACTGGCCCGACGTGTTTCCCGAAGCAATGTCAGAAGTGCTGGCAACATTGCTACCCTGGGAAGCGGAGGAGGTCTGCGCCTGTCCCACCGTAGGCGGGATCTTTTTCGTGACCTTTCGATTGCGGCACTTGAACTGTGTATGGCCATACTGGCCACAACGGATGCAAGCTGCTCGGGCGTACCGATCTCTCCACACGTCCTCGGTAAGCCCCGCTTTCTCCCATGGAGGAGCATTGGGGTCTACTCGACTCTTTGACCGGGAACCTCCGCGACACCTACCGGTCGCCTTACCTTTCTGTACTGAGGCAGTGACTGCTCCACCCCCTGAAGCTTTTGCGCTACCCGACTCTGACCCTACTCCCATCTGGAAGTCGCCGTCTAACTCTATGGTAGTACCATCGTTGTCGATGAACATGATGTGCCCCTTGGCCTTCTAGTTAGGAGGCGGTGTCTTTTTCCTACCATCCATTGTGGGTTGGTGTCCATGCCCAATCTTTGCTTCTAGATCTAGGGCCTTCTTGCTAAACGAGGGGAAGTTGTGCACTGTGATCATGGCCTCACTTGCCAAATGATTCGCGATCTTCGTAGGGAGGCACCTCAGGTAAGTGGTGAGCAAGACTTGGGGGTCGTAGCGTACGCCAGTAACACAGATCAAACACTCTACCTCGTTTGTGGCATCCCTTACTGACCTGATCTTCCTTGAGCTCAGGGTCAATATCCCGTCGGTGGCGTTTTGAGCCTCCTGCGGGTCATGCCACCTTTCCTCCACCAGCTTGATGAAATCATCCAGTTTCTGGGTGACTGCCCAAGCGCGGAAGTCATGACCGTACCCTTGTAACTGCACATACCGGCTTAACCACCTCGCTGCACTCCCCTCAAGATAGGAGGCAGCCACAAGCACTTCCTCGTGAGGCAAGGTTAACTTGAACTTCACATAGACTGGCACCGTCCTCAACCATGTGTCGAGGTCATCACCCTTCTTATCTCCTGTGAAGGGTTTGGGTGATGCGATGGCAGTCTTCGGAACCCACTGTCCTTGTTCTGGAACCTGCGCAACTCCAGGCTGTGAGGCCTGGGCCGCAGGCTGCTGCACTTGCTGCTGTTGGGGTTGTGTGCCCTGCGGCTGTGCTGGTTGCAAGATGGCAAGCTTCCCTGTTACAACCGCCTGTAACGGAGATTGGGAGAACACTGTCTGAACAGGAATCTGTACACTAGGACCTGTTGAGAACCCGCCTGTCAAAGTCATAACCAGATGGGAAGTGGCCTGTAGCGACATTGGAGAAGTGTGGATGGGACTACTCCAGTTACCGGTGGGACAAAAGGAGGAGGCTGTACCACAGGCTAGACACTTGGCCCAGATGGTGATGGTGAGACCTGAACTCCCCCGACCAGCACGACCATGCTCCTCTGAATGTCTTGCAAGAGAGCTGTATGGTAATCCTGCATCTCCACTACAACTAGCAGGGTCGTCCTAACAGTCCTTACATCGCCATCCTTGTTTGTTAGGTCCATCTCCTCTAACTCCCTGATGCCCGCTTATCTCCGCTGCATTCTAGATCTACGTCTGATCATTCTTTCTTTCTTGCCTATATCTCATCCAATGCCTGCTCTAGTTGTGCCTCGCGAGCGCTTGCTCGCTGGATGGCGACCTCCTCGGGAGTTAACACTGGCTGCTGGCTTGCCATTACACCAGTGGACAGACTCTGGGTCTGTGCGACCGTCGCCCCGACAGTCCCTCAACTACTGGCCTGGGAACTCTGCTACGCAAAGGTGGCCATGGTGGCTGCTGAGGTAGCTGCCTCCCTTGCAAAAGCTCTTCTTGCCTCTGCATCCCTCGCCAACCTCTGCTGACGCTGTCTCTCCGTAGCCTGGTGGAACAGAAGACAGTCTCCCTCAACTCCTAACGCTACGTAGACCAATCGGAGTCTACGGCTTGACGAACGCGAGATCCGATCGTTCAGATCAGGGTTCTCCCTGTCGCTCATATGCTACAACATTGTACACTGTCTACACTAGGACACGCTCGGTTGCCCACTGCAGCGTGGTGCTCAGTCCGATTTAAAATAATAAAAATAAATAATCGGTGGCATTGTCAGATGGTACACAGTTGGGTTTAACAGGTATGTCCAGATTCCTACAAATAAGACTATTTTACTTGACTAGTCAACAAACAGAAAGCGAATATTCTACCTATGTTGTCAGACAGATGTGTTAATGGCAGTACATCTAACTAATCAAAATAAGAACAGAATCATTTGTGTGGCTGTTTGTAGAGTGGAATTGTTCCCGAACTTATCACCTGAAATCTACCTCTCCCTCAGTTCTTCTTGATGTCACTTGACGTCAGCGTTCCTGAGCAATCCGGATGGCATTGGTGTCTAAAGGTGTGCATGGCCCACTTTTGTGCCCCAAGTCAATGCTGAGCTGGCCAGCCCTGCACCATATTTACCCTCGCGTGCAGTGAGCCTTACACCGACCAATTGGCTGATCAAGAGGCAGTTTAAGGGCAGCCCCCGAGGTCCTAAGGAATTATTTAACGCCGCAAACAGGATGACGATCACAACCAATGAAGGTAACACGTCCGGTTCTCGTCTCCCCAGTAGGGCTGGCCTGCCCCTAATGACCTATCTATAGAGCAACATGCAGACAAAAGACAAAGCGGCAAAGCATGCGTGCTCTACTCCCGGTGGGTTGACATGGTGATCGTGACCCAGTGCTTCGTCCAGGGCCCTTCAGATGGCAACGCCCTCTCCTTCCAGATGCTCCATGTGAACAATGCCGACTCTCAAGGTTGAGCGCACTCGACTCCTCAAATGAGAGACAGAACACATCCTCACGATAAGAAGTGTCGAAAAGGGTAGATAAGGTTAAGAGCAACGTACCTCAATATAGCTGCCCCTAACCACAGATATTCTCACCAAATGACCTGACTTCGACTGCAATGACCAATCATTGCCTCGACACAACCAGCATTATACCGTCGTTCCACCTCATCACCAATCACACATCAGATAGTTCTCATCACACTGCGAAACACCCAATATCACCACACAGCCTTCCTGGCGATACCCCTCTCCTTTTGGGTCGCCTGCTTGCCTTCGCCCTCCTCAGTGAGCACTACCCACAGTCGCTCACCCAGCTAACCGCGCGCATGCACCGCATAAGCAGAAGACAAGCGCCAGATGAGCACAACATACCACAACTCCGATACCAAAATGCAAGGAAAACGAGCGATAGCGAAATTCAGAAACCAAGCCGCATCATACATATGAAACCAGACAGTCTTGACCTCGAACCAAAAGCAGAATTGCAACTCGAGTTACACCAAATAAGCGCACAGCAAAGCTCACAAATGACAATGTGGGAATAGTCTCGTCATCATCATCAATGAACCAATGTCGATACCCTATTTGGCGCTCAGCGCCCAGACTACAAATGGTAGATCCTATCTAGCCTATCTACAATGCCGCTGGTGACGTCAACAGCTTCCCAAAGTACGAGCAGATCTCAGCCAATGTCGTTCGCATCAAGCACCACGTATGTCCCTCGCTTCACTCACACCCTCGATCCTCCACACAGATGCCACATGCACCCGAAGACCACCATGCGCCCCATCCAGCAACGTGCAGGCCAGCTCGGCTATGGCTGCCTGCTTCTTCCCTGCTCGCCCGTGAGCGAGTAGGCACTCGCTCCAGCAGCTGGCGCAGCAGCGCTTGCGCATAAGCAACGAGTGCCCGAATGTCCAGCCAGCAGCCAGGCTCTTTCCTTTATGGAGTGAGGCTGCCAGTCGTGGGCTGCCTGGATGGTCTGGGCCTCTCCCATGAAGCTTCCAGTAGGCCCCAGGTGGCTGCGCCCCTGTCCCAAAGAATCTTACACAGGGCCTGGGGAGGTTACCCGTGTCCAACTACCCAGGCAGCCTGTGTTCAGTTCATGCCCTATCTCTGGTCCAGGGCCTGGCCCGGATTCATCTGAGAAAGGGCCTGGAGGCCTGAGAGGTTGGCAGGCAGGGCCTGTGCGCATTCAACCACCTGACGCGGCGTAACTGCCTGAATTTCCCCAGCTGCATCGAAACACAAAATAGGCCTCTTGTCACTTGTCAGGCCCACCTTCACTTAGGGCGGCCGTTCTTGCTGAAACAGGGCCCATTAGGGCTTACCGAGGCCTTTAGCCTCGCACAACCATCTCCATCCCCTTGCCCCCTTTCCCTCCCCCTTCCCTGTC